AATATTCTCATCTCTCTGTTTTTTCTTGCTACCCAGTTGATTGGGCCGAGTACGCCTGTGATAGTCGGTATTGTCGGGGCGGCTATCGGTGTGCTGGGGATAATCGTCGCCATCGTGTGCGCAGTGCGGGCCGGGAAGGCACAGAGCAAGGTGCGCAGGCTGCAGAGTAAAGGGCCCGAGTACCGCGAGCTCAACCAGATGCCTAGCGCCTGACCCTAGCTGTTGGCTGGATGTTGCATATGGGCCCGGTCACATTCGTCGTATGGTCGCCCTAAAATCGCAAACTGAGGTCATTCTTTACTATCATGAAGGTTCATCTGTGTTGGTAGCCGTGGCGACTCTTGACTCGGGCTTACATTGCATTACCCTCTGCAAGAGTCGTGGAAAGATCCATTGGCAGAACTGCACATTTCCCGTTGGCTGCTCGATGCTCCGTTTTTGACCCGGTTTTTTGCTGTCCCGAGCTTCCCTACAATATAACTCCACAATTGGCCGGGTTGCCGATGTTCAGATCGGCCTAAATATTCCACAGCGCGACGGGAAAGTACTAAAATAGCTAGTCGGTACATCCGCGCCGCCATTTTGGATATAGTCCGGAATGTCCGCTACCGCCGTCGGGAACGCTCGGTAGGCTTTCCGGTTATGATCGGAGAGTTTTCGGTCCCGCTTCGGTAATCGTGGCGCTACCGAGCGTTCCCGACGGCGGTAGCGGACATTCCCGACTATATCCAAAATGGCGGCGCGGATGTACCGACTAGCTATTTTAGTACTTTCCCGTCGCGCTGTGGAATATTTAGGCCGATCTGAACATCGGCAACCCGGCCAATTGTGGAGTTATATTGTAGGGAAGCTCGGGACAGCAAAAAACCGGGTCAAAAACGGAGCATCGAGCAGCCAACGGGAAATGTGCAGTTCTGCCAATGGATCTTTCCACGACTCTTGCAGAGGGTAATGCAATGTAAGCCCGAGTCAAGAGTCGCCACGGCTACTGTGTTGGTAGTTACATGTTACAAGTTTTTAAAAAATCCAACGCAAAAAAGGTCTCTCGCCCGTGAGCTTACGACTAGTCACTCTGATGTCATTCGTTAACGTTCTTGGGATAGTCATGTACAAAATTCATAATCAGCTGTCATGCTACCGAGAAGACTGCCTGTCACAGTCTTCTTAAATCAATGGCGACGACCTACGATGAATGTGACCTCGCCGTAAGGGACTGGAAAGTACTTTTGTTCTGATTCTGTAAATTTGTTAATTCTTTGGCCTCGGATACATATAATATACCTGCGATGCACATATTTCGCTTGATACTGACACTGACATTGGGACCAGAACAAATTTAAGTAGAGTTAGTTCCAGACGAATGTCCGCATGTTGTGTTTTCAACCGTAACATCACCGTAATAGTCATTTGGAGACCTAAGAGGTCATACAGATAAGGCCGCACCAAGTAAATTTTATGGATGACGTCCGCGCGCGCATTGATTTTGGCCTGTTCCTAGAAAAAAAACAAGAAATTCTGCTTCCTGTAACTATGACCAAAGAGTGACGACAGTGCCGCAATTTTATGCTTTGTTTCTGCAAGCCTGCAAAAATGTGATGAAAGAAACAGGACAGGAAGACAACTGCTGTTCCACCTGATTTATTGCTGTTTTGATGATGAATAAAAGACTTCTTGCTTGTTACACTGTGTCACCTCATTCAATTTGTGTCCTAACATTTGTCATTTCTCAGTATATTTCTAATCTAGGCATCTTGTTTTTTAGGGCCCTTCTTGTTTTTTTTCGCCCTCTCGCATTAGATTTAGGGTCTCCAAAGGACGTCATCCATAAAATTTACTTGGTGTGGCCTAATGGCTCGCTAGTTGCATAGGGCGCAATATATGTATGCCAATATTGTTTTTTAAGCTCATTGGGTAGCACTATATACAGATGGCTAAACTCAGAAAAGGCTGACGTTTATTCTATTATTAGCTGTATACACTTTCTGCGGATGCCGGAAGTCTCTTCCGTCGATCGACTCCATCGAAATTTGTAGAAATGACGAAAGCCTCGGCAGCTAAACTAAAGTTTGCATACGAGGTTGCACACAGGATGTGAATTTCAAGCTAATTCAGATTGCTATTTGCTACTGCGCTGGATTGGTCGATCAATTTGAAAATGTCTTCAAACTGTCATTGGTATAAAGTGAAAGTTGACAAAACACAATGGTATTGATCATCAGCTTACGTGTGTGCAAACTGTCAGATCTAGACATGCTTGTTTGTGAACAGATAAAGGTTGTGACCATGCATGCTTGCAACTGATGCATATAGTGAACGGTGGCCTGAAGCAAGATATCAAAAGGACAGTAGAGCAATTAGCCACGATCTTTGTGCACGATGTGAATCATTCCGAAGATGCTTTCTTCGTGTATGACTATACTGTGTTGCATTCTCAATAAAGGATATATCATCGAAAATTACATCACATTTTGTTGTATTGAGTCTCGTGTACTGCATTCTACTTATTATTGTTACGTACATTGCAATGTGAAAACTGCCATGTGCCAACTGGGAGCACCTTGCACAAAACCGCACTGCATGGCGGTATGCACTTCGCCAAGGTGCCAAGAAACTGGAAGATGACCTGGTCCAAAATGAGACCACAAGAAGACAAAAAAGACACCATCCTTCTGCAACACCCGCTTTCACCTGCACAACCTGCGGGAAACTCTGCAGGAGTAAAGCTGGGCTGGCCGCACACGGACGAGCCCATCGACGTTGAGCAGAGCGTCTGCTAAGACGAAAAGGAGAAGAAGAAGACATTGCAATGAATGATATGGAACATCAGGGTACAGGGCTCCTTGAGCAGCAGAAAGAAAAGAATACAAGTAACCTTAATTACTATGGGACTAGGTAGGTAGGTAGGTACTATGGAAGAATCACGATCTTTATTGACAACGATTAATGCTTGGTATTTATCACGTGGACATTGCCACGTGGTTGTGACTCTTGAGGCCTGATCGAAATACATGTAAGAGGGTCTGCATGGGGGGTCCTGATTACGCTTTACGCTAAATTTATGGAGGCCCGCAACGCTTTACGTTAAATTTCCGGAAGGCTGGCAACGTTTTACGCTAAATTTTCGCCTCCTCACTACGAATAACGGTAAATAAAATGACTTCCCTACGAATTACAGGAAATTATTAAGAGGCCGCCTACGCCTTACGGAAAAGAGCATGCAGACCCTCATGTAACGTTACATGTAACGTTATGCCAGACTGCTGTACTCCTTACAAGAGTCGCAAGAGGTCTCTTCTGACTGGTGGAAATTTCCCGAACGCTAAATAAAGCCATGACGTCATCATGCGTCACATTGGAGTGACGCGTTAGACAAGATGGCGGCAGGCAGATAGGATGATACGTCCAATTTTTCGTCAAGTTTGTAGGTAAGTAGGTACCCGCAATCATACCCATCGTTATCTACAAAGTAATGTTAACAATCTGGATGCTGTTTAGATTCATTTATATTCGGCATTTTCGCAACAGGTCCCTAGTAACACGAGTTTGTTTGTAAACAGTTTAAATGCCCTGTTGTCCTCTCGTGCCCTTTCGCGTTTCATAACAATTTTTGGCATTACAAACATTCAACACAGGGATTTTGTTGTCCCAGACGTCAAGGGTCCTTTTTTGTGAAGGGACGCATAATTTAAATGTCCACCAAAAAGGGATCAGATTGCGTGCAGGGGTAGCGTCAGTTTCATTGTTTTCCTGTGTAGAAAATATCACCATGTGGATTTTATAGATGGGGAGGGGGGGGGGGCATATTTTCGTGACATTAACTAGGCCTGCAAGAAAATGGACAATATGTGACTAAAAACAACACAAAACAACAACAGCAGCAGACCGTGGAGTTTCGCACCTTGAGATAACTATTTGGAAAATAGTTGTTCTTGGATCACTCCATAGGGTCAACTTCCTGTTGTTTACTCCAAAATATATTCCCATCAGAAAGCAAAATCATGAGCTAAAATCACTCATGATGTATTCAGTGTAGGAAATGATGGCGATATCTAAAATTCTGTAAACAAAAAATGTTGGTTGGTGTGCATTTATAAAGTAATTCGCCTTGAAGTTCATAAGTTGTTGGCATGTTGTTCAGTTCCCATTATCACTCAGCACTTCCTGTTGTTTACTTCAAATATCAGCAATTCACCAAAATCACAGTTACATGATATGTTTATTTCTTTTGTGTCTTACACCTAAGGGCCATCATACCGGCTATACCGCCACAGATACAGATATTAGATCGTATCATATGATCAGTATGGTGATGTTAAATTTTTTCGGGGTGTGTGAAATCTTTATAATACAGTATAGCCTTGTTGATACAGGTGTTGGTGAGTTCCACCTGCACCAATGACAGGAAACAATGGCACCTGCTGACGATGACAGTACCCTGGAGCAGGAGCTACAGGTGCTGTTTAAGAAGTTAAGAGTGGACCTGGATGGGAAAGCTGTGGGGATCACACCATTGAAGTAAGTAACTTTTGTCAGGCTTCAATAGGACTAGTGTAGTTCTTATTCAACAGGACCACAGGGCATATTGCACTCAGTGACTATAATGCCTTGTACGTTGTAGCATACTGTAGACTGAAACTTTTGTGCTTTTATTTTTGTGATATTTCTGGTGACCGCAGGGCTCGTGACTGCGACTGATTTGGTCGCATATGCGCCCAAAATTTTGACGGTGCGACTACATTTGAAATCACGGTCGCACGGTGCGCCAATAAAAATTCTAGCCTATTCATTCCATTGTCGGCACAATCTTGTGAATTGACGATGAATTGTCGATCTCGCCATGACGCCGCAAAGAAAACGCCGTCATTGGTAGAAAATCTGACACCCCACTGGCGTTTCACAGCAAAATTTTCATGTGAACAACTCCGAATGTCTTTGTTTACATCGTGAAAGCTCACCGATACTCCCGCCGGCCGCCCGCACCCGACCGCATGGTCGCGGCATGACGCTAGTTTTCGGCAGCTCGGCGGAAAAATAATCCATCCCCAGAAGAAATGTTACGCATTAAAATAACAACTACAACTTGCTTTCCTCGTTATATGACTTTTTGAGGCCGTAAAATGTTTAAAACCGTTGAAATTTGCTCGAAAAAACGGCTCGAAAATCTACGGCGAGACTGACAAAATGGCCGACGGTGTTTCACAATAACAGTGGTCAAAGGTCAAGATAGCATCCAAATGTACAAGATACATGTACTAAGTACATATTACAAGGTGCTAAAAACGAAACTTTAAAACGCATTAAAAAAAATTTTTTCGGTCTACAACTGAAATAAAAAATTACACTTATATTTTTATAAGACCACACCAATTTAATTTGTTGGTTCTCGGATTTTTCATGAAAAATGTGAAGCGACAGGGCGAAAAAAAAAAAAAAAACAAATAGCCAAA